TACAGGTACTTCTTTAATCAACATTATTACCACTTGAAATAGATTAATCTAACATTGCCCTCTATCTACTACCATTAATTAGTTACTGGTATTGTATATTAAATCACAGAATATCAAATACAAGGAGTTTAGACTTTGTATGACACAAGGCGTTCTCCCTTCACTTTTATCTGCGTGATTATATAGTGATATTACAAACCTTATAACCTTTCCCAATAAATATTCTAAATATACCTATATAAAAATAATGCAAAATAAAAATAGTACTTAATTAAAAAATAATAATTCAATTATACCACAAGCTGTGCTTAGTTTGGAACTAGATGGCGTTGTGTGTCAATGTCTTAAAATATTATTTATTTATAAGTCGGACTCGTGATGTCAGTTAGAGCATTAAACAAACATTCAGAGAAAAAACCCATCAGTTTTGGGTATTATATCTGTATGAGTATAAATGACAAGAAGTTTTAATGACGTTCCAAGTTTAAATCTTGTCCCATATAAGTTTATTTCAAACTAATCAACAAAGTCCGTTAAAACATTGATTTCATGCTTTGAGCCTTACTAGTTCTGTTCACCGTCGCTAGATGGCATTCCCTGTGTATTCATCGAATGTCATTCATTAACAAGCGGGCTTATTATACCAAGACACGACAAACTACGGTGTACCAATCGATTCTGCATCGCGAAATGAAAGTTCTCACGTTATTTAAACAACTTCCTAACAATAAATGTTCGACTGCGGTCGACCTTAATCACCTAGTTTGATTGGTAGATCCTCCTAAGTCAAGTGCGTTGCCCTTACACGCCTTCTCCTCTACCCCCCCAAGTCAATGAGAAGTGAGTGGCCGATTTTGCGATCTTGCGACGCCGATTAACTTTGAAGCCGTTGTACCAATACGAGTCGAGCTGATCCAAATTATGCCGAAGTAAAGCTCTCCCACCGCAAGAGCTCTTCACGGTTAAAGTTCATAGCTGTCAAAATACGTACATTAATTATATTTTTTCTAAGTTTGACTGAAAAAGGCAGACATATGTTTCTACTCCTAATATCAAACGGCTGGCCCAATTTTTATGAATGGCGTCTCAACAGACTTACCTATGACGTTACCTACTTCTCAAGACTAACACATTAAAATATTCAACCTTTAATATCTGCTAAGAGGTAAGTAGAGATATACCTAAGTAAGTATTGTGCTAATATTTTATAGGCTATTTTGGTCATGTAATAAATACCTACATTGCAACATATCTCATAAGTTTTCAAACAACAAGTTTTTACTGAGAATCTAAAAGAAATACTTAATAATAAACTTTATTGAAACTGGAATCAAACAGAAGATATCAAGATAGCACAATAACAATTGTAACATTACACTAACAACGTAAAAACTGAAAATAATTACGTAACTACCGTACCTATTACATTGAGTTTGCCTCGAATTAATGTTTATTTAAAAGGACTACCCTACCGTATTCTATTTACCTACATATAACATAACATCAAATGGTTTATATTCATTTTACAAAATTCATAAACGACAGAGTACAATGATTAGCTTACAGACAAAATTATCTAACTATTCGTTCTAGACGTAACTGTGTTCTAAACTCATTTTGGTTCGCTGCGACTTCCTAAATATAGTCTTGTAACTTTATCGAACTAAATAATTGGAAGAATTTCAACTAAATTCTTATCATTATCTTCGACTGACCTGTAAGTCCGTGTGGTGACGGATTAAGAATACAGAGTGTCACCGCCCCTATTCATCTCGTGGGTGTCGTCCCCGACTAAGGGAAAAAACTACGCAGAACAACAACACTGCAGAGAGAAGGAAAACTTTACACAAACCCTATAGTAACCCGTCTGGCCAGCGTGGTACAGTAGGCCAAAACCTCCTTTCTAAGGAGAGGCTTTTGTTCAGCAGTGGACTATTAAAGGCTTTTGATGATGATGATGACCTGTAGGTCTAGTGGTCAGAGATCCTTGCCAGCAACCAGGACCTCTAGAGGTTGTAAATTTGGTTGCCATCCAGGATAAATAATTGCGTGAAGACTATCATTTGTGCTATTTGGTACTACATAAGTATGTCTATCAGCAGTCTGGGTACCATAGTACAGGCTCTGCCTAGTTTGGGAAAAGACGGCCGTGTGTGAGAATTGTGGATTAAAAGATAATAATTAAAGGATGATACTTACTAGGATAAACTGAACGATTCAGTAGAGATTGAGTAAAATAGTTTTTACGAATATATATTAATTTATTTTCAACTTATTCTGACCTATCTACACGGCGCCGGCTTTACCTTCATAGGTAGTGACTCACTACCTATGAAGGTAAAGCCGGCGCCCGTGCCTCACTACTAGTGAGGTGAGGTAGGCGTAGTGGTTTAAACGTTGTGGTTCCGATCCCCACATGGGACATCCCTTTGTGTGATTCACAAATTAATGTACCTATGTTTGTAAAGTAATACCTAGTGCGGGAGTTGTCTTTAATAAAATATACCGTATACCTTGACTTTTTTGTTTTAATTCTCTTGCGCATAGTTAACGTGAATTTTAATTTGGACATGCATTCGATGTTATCGTCGATGCGAACTGCTGAAATTGGTGTAAAGATATAACAAGGTAGTTGGTAGTAATAGGGGTTAAAAATTATTAACATGTTGTTTTATGGTATAGGTAGGGGGGCTAACAAGTAGACAGATTACGTGGTACGTGGTTGCCGTCGCGAGTCGACACCCTCGCAACCAGGTAGAGGGAGGGGGGAAAGGGGGGGGGGGATTTAGGCTCTGGTAACCTTACTCATTTAGTAAAAAGTAACGAAACAGTTACTTAACATTGGTTTTCTGTAAGGCTGTTGAGCCGACTGATGTGTGTCGGAGCAAGTGGTTTCCTTAATTATTAACATAAGTATGTTGGTTGTTAAGGTAACCACTTGCCTTGCTTGAAACATAAGGTTTTAAATATATACCTAGGTAGGTATACATTTCTTTTTTTTTATAGTTTCCCCTCACGTTTAAACCACCATGGGGGGAGTTTAATAGGTACATTATTATGGTACATTCTGCAATTTGATACAGAAATATTTGTTATAATAGTTTTGTGTTTATGTGAATCGTACATAAGTGCGTATATATTTAAAACCTTTCACATTTCTTTTATCAGTATAATAAATAGATAAATACTTTATTTGTACATCACGGTTTTACAGACATTATAAAGTAATTAACAACAGATGTAATGTACAAAGTAATATTATCTTATAAAACGACCTTAAAAATAATTGTTCCTGTAGGTATGCATATATAGTATTAATATAGATTACTAGGATTTATGTATAATAAATATTTCGTAGGTACTTATTTAGTACTCGAATTTCTATATACCTATCACCAGTTCAAAATGAATCCAGCCCATCCGAAGGTTGCCTGGAAGAAATTGCTATAAGCGATAAGGCCGCCAATTGTACATCATCTACTTACATTAATTACTTTAAAATGTCTGTAAAACCCTTCTGTATAACAAATATAGTATTATCTATCTAAAGAGGGGAGGTAAAACCACCTTGTGGAAATTCATACAAAGACAATTTTACTATAGGAGAACTGCCTATGGTTCAGCACTAGATAGATCTCAGCTCGACCGGAGTAATCCCACGAACTCTGAAAATCGGCGTTAAATTATTTCTGTATTGCTAATCATCGAGTCAGTGAGGTTACTGAAGACCCAAGCAGTTCCCTCTAAAGGTTTTGGCCTACTACACCACGCTGGCCAGACGGGTTAATATAGGGTTTGTGTCAAGTTTTCCTTCTCTTTCCAGTGCTGTTGTCCTGCGTAGTTTGCTCCCTTAGTCGGCTTTTAACACACCCACGGGATGAATAGTCGTGGTGACACTCCGTATTCTTAATCTGTCACCACACGCATAGACGGTCAGGTGTCATCATCACACATCAACAGCCTTAAATAGTCCACTGCTGGACATAGGCCTCTCCTTAGAAAGGAGGTTTAGGTACGGGTTTATTGGAATGCTCACGGTCTGTGACAAAAGGTATTCGTACTTTTCTCATGGTAAAGGACCATACGAGCAGACGAGTCACCTGATGGTAAAAGACTACCACCGTCCATGACCACATGTTACTCAAGAGACACAAGTGGTGGGAGTACCTACGCTCTTTTGTTATTAGGTATAATAAAACAATACCCCAACACACCTACCTACATATAACTAGGTAAAATACCCAGTAAAGCACAAACAAAGGTAATGATAGGTATACATACCTATATCAATGCCTAAATGTGATGTGTAAAAAGATACCTAACTGTTTGCCTGTATGGGGCGATTGCTTATTTACAACCCTATTGGTATAAAAGTCTTATAAGAATTTGATAGCAATGAAAGGTTTTATTAATGAATTCATTCATAATTTTAATATTCTTATATACCTACATATAATTTCTTATAAGTAGAAAAGTATTTACCTACTTAGATATTATGATTATAGTAGTATTTACATAAACAATATCTTATGAAGGTTGAATGCAATTCTTTATTTATGTATTGCTTATGCAATTAATAATTAATTATTTCAACAGAATTAATAATATAAAAAGAATCATCTCTGAATATGCAACAAGTTTATAACAGTGACATTTATGCTTGCCTAAGCATTCATTATACCTAAATAGTTAGGACAACAAAACAATTCCATAAAGATGGTTACTGATGGTAACGTAATCAAAAAACATCATAATTTAAGTGTTAAATACAACCGAACCTCGTAATAACTAATTATTTTACTCGTCACTTACCTCAAAGTAATAATAAACAAACTTATAAACAGGCGAATACAATAGTTACCGAACAAGCACCAAAACTAATCAATCAGATGTAGGTTCATCGACATTGTGGTCTGACCTCGGCACGACCAACGACCAAAGACAACACCATCTAAATAAAAAAAGTTTTTTTTTAAATTACGATTTCATTGAATGTTTACCTCATGAAGTGGCCGCTCGCCCTCTGATGCAATTCCAGATCCATAGCTCCGCTTTAAGTCACGATGAAAACTCAGTCCTCACAACACACACACTCAAATCAATATTACTCAAAAACAAATATTCAAATTTCGAATGTTGTCATTGTGTAACTATTAGTTTATAACACGATCGATTCAGTCGATTTGCGTTATCGGTGCGAATCAAGCGAACGTACCGCGCGCTCGTCGCTCGCTCGACACAATGGCGACAATCGACAATCGCGCGCACCGACTGCGGTGACGACTACCGACAAATCGAGTAATCAAGCCGAGTGCGCGCGCCAATCGAAACGCTCCACTACGCCCACGAGTACGAGCCGAGCGACGCTATTGGCCAAGCAGCTGGCATTGCCTTACGGATGTTATTATGCAGAACGAGACCAACAGTTCGAAATAAGAATTTTAAGCGTTTACTAGCAGGCGTACAATGCAAATTGGTTGGCGCGTCGTGCTCGCGGTCTCGCTCGTCCCGTCCACCTTTTTGTTTATGATGACTTGGTGTATGAAACAAAAATAAATTCGTATGACAGCGGTCTCACCTGAGCCTCTCAATGCCCACTTAGCGTGTTTCGTTATACTGCTTATTGAGAAAACAATGCAACGGGCAATGTTATATTTGTGTATTCAGGCACGTATGTGTGTATACATATGTACGTGAATATCTACAATACTTAAAATTACAAGTGCATGACCGTTAATTAGAAATAACAATGAATATTTTTTTGTTGTTTATTTAATAAAGTTTATTGACTTTGCCTTTGATGACCTTAAAAAGTTTTTCACTCCTAAGTTTCAAGGATTCAATTCCTGGTAAAACGTGAAATTAAACAGAAAATTTATTTGTATATTTTGTAAGGTAGATTTAAAAGGTAACATGGAGATTGAAAAGTATTTTTGACAAAAGGCAAAACTTCCGGCAATAAAATTCTCTTCTTGATTATAATTGTATTTTCACGACGCATGAATCAAATTAGATATTTAATTTATAATATTTTTAGTGATTTCTTTAAGGAGGCACTGAGACATGTGTTACGATAAAGGTTAACCTCAAATCAATAAGATGCTTTATACAACTGTACAATTAGTTCCAATTGCGTAACTAGATGTCACTTTCAACAAAGAGGCGAGTTGTTAATTCAAATAAGATTTATGTCTTTCTCTAAGCACAGGTGATAAATAATGAGCCTCATATATTAAAAATTAATTATATAGTACATAAAAGGCAGTAGTCAGTGGATAGGTAAAAACTGCTAATATAAACATACCTATTTATAACATGTAGATGTTTTAACACACAACAATTCAAGAGATTTTTCTTGTTTGACGTTCAAAAGACTCAGTGTCATTTAATTGTAATATTTATTTATTATCTAGGTATTTGGTATAAATATACGTGTAGGTATTATTTTTAGATAAAAAAAACAAAAGACATTGTAAAAAGTGTCGTAATTTTGTCTAAATATTTTTCTGATTAGATATGTACCTATCTTATCTACCTTAAGATAAGATTTGGTACACATTTTCCAAAACACTTAAGCTTTGGAAAATGTGTACCAAATCTAAAAAAATAAGACTTGGAGTAGGTAAGTATGAAATATATTCAAGAGTGTGCCTCATTAGACTGACATAATGCTTAAAAAACAATATGTATGATGTTTTCTTAGGTATTCCTCTCTTATTAGAATTTCCTCACATGCCTATATTATTTATGGGAAGAGTGACTGAATAAATATCTACCTCCTAAGATTAATCGTTTTCTGTTGAATAAATAAAGAATAAGTTTCGGTTACTCAATTATTCTGATGTACCTATAACCTAACACATGTCACACACGGCCGTCTGATCTCAAACTAGGCAGAGCTTGTACTATGACAACCAGAATTCTGATAAAGATAGGTACTTATATATTTTACTAAACACAGGCACATAATATCATACTATATAGATGCTTTATTATAATATACGTATTATATAATAATATAGGAGGCGCTGAACTTTAAAATTGGTATAAAATATTGGTGATTAATAGCTTAAGTGCGGCCCTTTGATGTCAGTGATCCTTTGGCTAGAGGTTTCTTAAGACGGTCCTTTTTTCTTTGAAAATAATACTTAGAATGCACATATACCCAAACGGTTCCGTGAGATCGTCTTTCGATATATGAGTGGTATTTTTGGATTGAACTTTAAAATATTAATATGGCTTTATAAGTGAAGACCTGTAATTGGCTTTCAGGTGACTACTGTAATTTGTATCATATTTAACATTTGTAGCTATAAGTCTTCCATGCTCTAAATAAATAAATAAATAAAGTGCCCTACTGTTAAAACCACGTGTATATGTGTATACAAAGATATAGTAAGTCACGGCTATTAGTAAATAGGTATTTCCACAACGCACAACAAAAATAAACGGTTTTGAGTAGCAATTTAGGTATTAAGTCACATGGCCTTGGCTTACTCTTGTAAGCACACGAGAACAACATAGACTTCTATAGGCAGGTAGTAAAATAGAATAGAATAATTTATTTCATTTAAACATGGGTGACTGATACAGTACTAATTTTACCAGTACCAATTTCTCGACTACACGGATCGTGCTGTGGTTTAAGCGGTCGTCACTACTACGCTGAGTATTGTGGGACCGATCTTCACATGGGACGACACTTTGTGTGATCTACAAATTGTTGTCAGGGTATTCTTCTTGTCCATTTCATGTATGTTTGTAAAGTCCTCCACAACACAAGATATGTTCCTAATGCGCGAATTGCCTTTAAAAAAATGCATTGCGTGAAGATGAAATAGGTGATATGTTTTACCAGTTATGGATTACGAAGTCCTGCAAAGGAGTCAATTATTATTATATAGTGGAAATAAACATTTTCAAGTTATTGTCAACCATAATTATGTCAAAAAACATATACTTAGGTATATATAGTAGGTACTTGGGTATATAGGTATTACTAGCTATCATTTGTTTACCCTATAACAATCAGATTGTTACAGTTAATACAGACATGTAGGTAGGTACTAGACGAGAAATTTTGAAAACAATTATGTAAGATTATTAAATTGCCCTAAAACTCAGAACAATGATCTCCTTGTGACAATCAATTGATATACTTGTTGTAGATTAATATCTTATACTAGATACTCGCTATTATCTATCATCATCATCAACTGCCTTTAGTAGTCCACTGCTGGAAATAGGCAAGGAGGTTTCGGCCTACTACACCACGCTGGCGAGACGGGTTGGTATAGGATTTGTTTCAAGATTTCCGTCTCTCTGCAGTGCTGTTGTCTTGTTGTTGGTATAGTACCCTGAGTCGGCTCTTACGACACTCATGGGATGAGCAGGAGTGGCGACACTCCGTATTCTTAATCCGCCACCACACGGATCTGTTATCTATAGTTTGAGTAAATATAGTGTGATTATTTGTATCATCAAACCTACCAACCTAATACTTCTGTTTTTTTGGTAGAAAATGTGTATTCTAATATCGGTAAGAAGAGTATCATCTAAAGAATCTATTCACATTTGAGAATTTTATAAATTGTTATTAAAGATGTTTAAAAAAGATGAATCCATATTGATAATTTCAGAACTCTTGTCATGTTAAATCTGACACAATAACAACTGAACTTAAAAATACAATAACGTATCGATTTCTAATAAAAATGCCGTTGGAATAAATTAAAGGTCAAGAATGCATGCACACAATATCAACATTTTAACATCAATAGAAATCATAACGGAAGCTAGATTGAAGAATAACATTCCATCAACTAAGAAAAGATGTAACTTCGAATACAGATCAATAAAAATTCTATAAAAAAATTACCATATGTCTAACAAGTATGAAATGATCCAATAACTGCATAATACAAACTAATATGCAAATACGTAAGTGATACAAGAAATACATCACCAAAATATTAAAAAAAATCACAAACGTCACATTCTTATTTCAAATTCAAATGAGGTTTTGTTAAAAAATCGACATGGCCACCGAAAAATGGTAGGCCGTTTAAAATTATGAATATAATACAATGTAAGCGTTCGATAATTGAATTGTTAGGTTGTGTGAAATGTTGGCGACATGAGGGCAGCGGGTCGCGCCCTACACACGGACAGACTGCTACAATGTGCGGTCTACAATACACCATACGCAAATTAACTACATAGACATTTTATTGCCAATAAAAAAATCTATTGAGCAATCCGCGACGGTGTACATGTGCCACAGATAAAAGAATTTAAAATGTCGATAAATGATTTTTGCATATGTTTGGGGCGCAACGTATGTAGATTCGGTAACATGTGTAAATGCAGGTAGCTTTGTTATTTTTATTGCTTCAGCTACTGTCATTTGTTGAGATGAGAGAATGAGATTTTGTTGATCACAACGGAACTCGATAGACCGTTACAAATTCGTTTATTGGCGAACTGATACATATACTTGATTTGATAATGGACAAAATGGTCCATTAATGAAAACTCTTTGAATACTAATGGAAACAATACATTATATAAATACCCCTCCAAAGAAGCCTTTTGATTTTATTAGAGCATGTTATTTATGTCTAACTGTGTTGAAACAGATAACATATATAGATTAGTTTGAACACTAAATTTAATTGTAGGAGTCTTGAGAAAAAACTAATAGTAGGTAGGTATACTAAGTAGTTTGTAAAAGATCGATATCTATTGAAATGTGTTGCCAGTACAGAACGATTTCAATCGTTTTATATGTACCTACATAGGTAATCTAATATATAAAATTCTCGTGTCGCAACGTTTGTTACAGAACTTCTCCTAAACAGTTGGACCAATTGTGTGCATTTCGGGTAGGACTGAGAATCGGCCAACATCTATTTTTCATATCCCTAAATGATAAGGGTGAACAACCCCTAAATATATTTTTTGGCAAAACAACGTTTGCCGGGTCAGCTAATATTTAATAGAAATAAGGCTTGAATAGAAATCATAAACATTATTACAACAATA